CTTACATAGGCATACATACGTAAGACATTTTTAATTTTTTTTTTTTTTTTGCTTGTTGGACTTACAGACAAAACAGACTTACGAACAGCCTCTCGGAACGTAACCCGTTCATAAGTAGGGGACTGTCTGTAGTTCATCGGTCACGTAGGCACGATATTCCTAGACCAGGTAAAGTCTGTCTGTTTATTCTTTTCAGTTTTCCACTTCTTCTTCCTGATCTTTTAACAGGTCTCTCTTCGTGTTCCCAAACCAGGGGAGATTTCTTTGGTTAACGTACACTCAGTCCTCGTTATCCGTGGTGGTTATGTTCTTGAAAACCTCCACGGAAACCACAGTTATTGAAGCATTGATCCTAGTGAGAACACGTGAACTGTTATCAGAAGGACGTGGAGACTTGTTAACACAACAAACACGGCAAGAACAGGAATGCCCTTTCCCTTTAAGTAGCTCGTGTTGATGCTGTGTGTTAAGGCTCTGAGACTTTTTTCCTACTGCGCGTGGCTGCGTATAGCAAAAATATATCTGTTTGACAAAAAATGGGTTACACTTTTATAAGCGAATCCATGGAAACAGAATGCGTGGACAACGAGGATTGGGTCTGTAAGAGTTTGTGGTTTTGCATTCATCTCCTTTCTGTATTTTCTTGGGAAAGTTTGATAAAAGGAAGCGGAGGATTGAGCAGGAATAAAGAATCTGGGCTAGTTTTTTGGCTTGGGGTGTTAAATTTTATTATTGATTCTGAAAATAATATGTGTATTTGTTTGAAGGTTTATAGAGTGCCCTTCAATTTAAAATAAATGTTTGGGCCAGTTGGCATCAAGGTTATGCAGGGTGAGTGACAGAGATCTGCTCGGGAAGATTTCATCCCAAGAACCGGGATGTCCTGCCTGGGGTGGCCCATTCAGTAGTAAGTTTCCTGCTCTACCCAGCCGCCCGGATTGTGGCGTAGAATAAACTTCCGGACTTCATCATAGATGAAGATGAGTATAGAAAACGGTACGGCACACAGCCACCATGTCCATCGGAGCGGGTACATGCGCAGAGCCACCTCCATTCCTGGACAGTAGGAGAGAAGCATAGCCAAGGTGGTTTCTTCAATCAGGCCGAAGACCATAACGGTGTTCCTCATGCCCTGCTGGAAGAACGACAGTTTCCTGGTCTTGCAGATGATGAGGTCAGTCCACTGCACAATCACGATGCTGATGAAGAAGGCGGTGTGGCAAGTGAATTCTATCACTTTGCGCTGATGGTAGGTCCACTGCTGGCCGTAGCTGTCCTCCAGGTCGTTCACAGAGTGGTCGTCCCAGTGCAGGCGGATCCCTGGCAAGGTTAAAGGCAGGAACCCATTTTCGGCCATGATCACGAAGTAGGTGAAGAATCCAGCGAGAGCCTGTATCATGCCGATCTGTCCGTACGCCATGCTGATGAGGCGTTGGTTCACCAGCTTGTCCGTCTTGGAATTCCGTGGCTTCCTCTTCATAATGTCGCTCTCTGCTTTCTCGTAGGCCAGGGAAATGGCAGGCACCATGTCGGTCCCCAGGTCAATGCACAAGATGGTGATGGTGCCCAGGGGCAGCGGGATGTTAAAGATGATAAATAAGAGGAAAGGGGAGATCTCCGGGATGTTGCTGGTCAAAGTGTAGGCGATAGACTTCTTCAGGTTGTCAAAGATCAGACGGCCTTCTTCCACGCCCGTCACAATGGAGGCAAAGTTGTCGTCAAGGAGGATCATGTCAGCGGCTTGCTTGGACACATCGGAGCCTGTGATGCCCATGGCAATGCCAATGTCGGCCTTCTTGAGAGCTGGGGAGTCATTCACCCCATCTCCAGTCACAGCTACAATGGCCCCCTGCCTCTGACATCCTTCCACAATGATCAGCTTCTGCTGTGGGGAGGTGCGAGCAAAGACTATCTCAGAGTGTCTCAAGAGGATCTCGTCCAGTTGCTCAGAGGTCATGTCCTTGAGGTCGGAGCCATGGATGACGCAGGCCCGGGCTTCCTGGGGATTGACCTGGCTGACCGGGATCCCCCGCCGCGCCGCAATGTCTTCTACAGTCTCGCTCTCCTCAGAGATGATCCCTACCCCCTTGGCGATGGCTTTGGCAGTGATCGGGTGGTCTCCAGTGACCATGATCACTTTAATCCCAGCACTGCGGCACTTTCCAACGGCATCTGGCACGGCAGCGCGAGGTGGGTCGATCATGGAGATAAGCCCCACGAAGCAGAGCTTGGTGGTGGGGAAATTAGGCTTGTCCACATCAAACTTGAAGCCACGGGGAAACTGTCGCTCAGGGAGGTAGCAATGGCAGAATCCCAGGACCCGCTCGCCCAACCCCCCGAGGTAGTCGTAGGTGTTTTGAAAAGCCTCCTGTATCTTCTTGTCCAAGCTCACCTCCTTCCCTTGCAACAGGATGGTGGAGCATTGTTCCATGATCCTCTCCGGAGCCCCCTTCATCACCAGGAGGTGACCTTTGGACCTGTCTTCAGCTTCGTGGATGGAGAGCTGGTACTTGTTGGTGGAATTGAAGGGGATCTCGGCCACTTTGGGATTCTTCTGGCGCATCTGCCTGACCGACCCACAGGACAGCTCAATGCATTTTAGGAGTGCAGACTCAGAGGCATCGCCGGTCGTCTCCTTCTTAGCAGTGGGGACGTGCTCCTGTTCTGCTTTAAAATCTGCTCTGTTGCACAAGCCTGCAATATGGGCCAGTGCTATCCATGTGGGGGAACGTGTGTTAAATATGGCCCCTGCATAGGTCTCAGTGGTGTTGGCTTGATGGATCTCCTTGTCAAACCACATGTGGGCAACGGTCATGCGGTTCTGAGTGAGAGTTCCTGTCTTGTCCGAGCAGATAGTGGAGGTGGACCCCAGGGTCTCCACCGCCTCGAGGTTTTTCACCAGGCAGTTCTTGCGAGCCATCCGTTTGGCCGTGAGAGTCAAGCAGACGGTGACCGTGGCTAGGAGCCCTTCTGGCACGTTAGCCACAATGATGCCAATCAGGAAGATAACAGCTTCCAGCCAGTTATAGCCAAGGCCCAAGGCCAGGATGAAGAATGTCACCCCTAGGAAGACGGCGACTCCAGTGATGATGTGGATAAAATGTCCTATTTCTCGGGCAATAGGGGTGAGGCCCTCAGATAAGCCGGAAGCCAATGAGGCAATCCGGCCCATCACAGTGTAGTCCCCCGTCAAGATGACAATGCCCCGAGCTGTACCTTCAACACAGTTGGTAGAGAAGAAACAGATGTTTTGGGTCTCCAGGGGGTTCTCATTGGTAAAATCTGCGGATCGGGATTGTGGCTCTGACTCACCAGTCAGGGAGGAATTGTCCACTTTGCAGCCAGTGGCAGAGATGACCCTTAAGTCCGCAGGAATCCGGTCTCCTCCTTTCACCTCCACCAGATCTCCCAAGACCACGTACTCAGCGTTGATTTGCAGCTTTTCACCGTCCCGGATCACAAGGGCTTGTTGAGGGACCATATTCTTGAAGGATTCCATAATTCTGGAACTTTTTGCTTCCTGATAATAGGAGAAACATCCGGTCACGATAACAACGGCTGCTAACACAATGCCCAGATAGAGGTTGTCTTTCTCTGCTTTTCCACCCATGAGGGTCTGGACCCAGTAAGCCAGAAAGCAAAGTATGGACCCAATCCACAACAGGATGGAAAATCCACCAAAGAGTTGCTTGCAAAACTTGACCCACTCTGGCGTGGTTCGGGGAGGGGTCAAGGCATTTGGTCCATTCTTTTCTAAGATACGGGCAGCCTGTTCCTTGGTCAGACCTTTGGAGAGGTCCACCTTATATTTATGGCGGAGTTCCTCAAGAGACAGCTTGTGATCATCAAGGGTCACCTCTTTTTTCAGTTCCTCCAGTTCTTCTTTTGGCTTTGTCTTATTTTTCTTGAAGCGGCGCAGAGTGCGGTGCGGGGAGTCTTCAGTCTCCTTCTTGCTCATGGTGGAGGTTGGATCTCCCAACTCTTAGCTTCCCCTACTTGGGGGCGTCTAGTGCAGCTCCTGGGGAGAGGAAGGGATGGGCAGTATTGGAGAAGAACCAGTGGGAGAAGGAGAGGAGCTATACTCTCAGAACGGATTGCTCCACCAGAGAGAAGCGGGTGGGGATGAGAAGCAGATGACCCAAATGGTTGGGAGCAGAGGTTCTCCAAAGAAAAAGCAAGAGGCAGCGTCTTTAGCAACCATCCAAAGGTCCCAAGGACTGAGCTCCATCAGTAGAACAAAGGACACGCTGGCCAACCAAACAATGCCTGTCTCTTAGCAACCAAGATGTAACTGCCTCTTTTGGTGATATCATACCTCCCAGTAACTGACACTATTGGTTCTATGAAGTTCCTAGCAACCAAGAACATTGTGGGGGGGGGGCATCTTTCCTCCTTATTCTAGGAAGGGCAGGGCGGTGGAGGAGGAGGAGGCAAAAGAGATGATGAAGATGATGATGATTCCCAGGGGTTGTTGTTCCTGTGGCAGATATAAAAGCCTACAAATATACAAATAGCTTAGAATGTCTTAAGAGTGAAATAACTTTGAAGGATTCAACCAAAGCCCTGTTTCATTCAGGATACATTTCCCACACTGGAAGTTCAGAAGTGGTTAATCGCCAGAAGTTAGCCTCAATTTGTTAAGAACAAGTCTTGCCAGATAAATTTTATCTTTTTTTTTTCCCAGTGGGTGACTTCCTTAATAGACTGTGGGTACGCTGTAGACATAATATATCTCGACTTCAGCAAAGCATTTGACATAGTACCCCATGACATTGCTGCAGACTGGTCAAGGGTGGGTCGGATGTCATGACAATTAAATAGATACATAGTTGGCTCAAAAATTGTATATTCACAGAATCCTCAACAGTGAAATCACTGAGAAATATCAAGTGGGGTGCCACAAGGATCAGTCCTGGGTCATGTAGTCTTTAGTATTTTCATTAATGATTTGAATGAAGAGGTAGACAAGATGCTTACCGGATTTGAAGGCGATACAAAATAGGGTGCAGTAGCTAATATTCCTCAGATGCTGTTAAACTACCTGGAGAGGAAACGGTTAATCTAAAGAACAAGTCATTCTGAGTCTTGATGAGTAAGTTTATTAGCCCAAGAATTCCAGCAAGTACGTTATTTTCAAAATGAGAAATTCATATCTATGCAAATCAGAGCAGTTGGATTGTGGTTTTCGTTCTTGAACTTTTTTGAATAAGGAGGAGGAGACCTTTCTCTTTTGAGAAGGTGGGGATTGCAGTGAAGGTGGTTTTGGAAGTGGCTAACTTCTTACTGATGTGAGATCCAACCCATGAAATACTGAAAAAGGCCAAAATAAACTTTGTCTTGATAGATTGGAGAAAGGCGGTAGAAGTACCAGAATGAAATGTGAGAAAGGCAAATTCAACATTCTTCATTTAGGAGACAGAAATCAGATTCACAGTATAGATAGGTTGGTGGGTGGAGGTCCCTGGCTTGTGAAAAAGATCTTGGAATAGCTGTTGATTGTAACCTGAATATGAGCCAGTGGTGTGATGTGGCTGTAAAGGGGAGAAAAAAGCAAATGCAATTTTGGGCTACAGTAACAAAGCATAATTTCCAGATCATGGGAAGTAGTCATTTCATTCTCTTCTACTTTGGTCAGACTTCAAAACGACTGTCTCCTTTTCTGGGCATTACCCTTAAAGAAAGATTCAGGAAAGCTGAAACAGGTTTGGAGAAGGGAGCAGATATGAGTAGGGATTAGAAATTAAGTCCTGTGAAAACGATTGGGATGTTTAGCCCTGAGAAAAGATTACTCATTTGTGGGAACGTGCTTCAGTGCCCAGAATAACTGCATATCTCAATGATAAATCTGATGCAGAATTCAATTCTAATTGGAAACTATTCCTAGATTACGGTTTAATACATGGATTTGGACTGCATCCAAAATTTGGGTTTTTCTACGAATAGAGTCTGTAACCGAGCTTTGTGGAAAATTAGATTTCTTGTCCTGACCTAATTTATTATCGTTTGTGGCCCTTATACTACCTTATATAGCTTAAACATTAATGAGGATTCTGTTTCTCCTTCCCAAAATGATATGACATGTTTTACAATTTCATGTTATATTGAAAATTGTAACTTGGACGACAATTTAGATCCTTGGTTTGCTTCTTTGCATTCCATGGTCTCCTACTGTTTTATTCCTTTTACGCATCCTTTATTTCTTGTATATATCCTTTCTTTAAAATGCTTAATTTTTTTAAAAGCCCAGTGAGAAAGCATCATTGAGCAGGGAAGTGACAACTCTCTTCAAATCTCAAAAGGCTCTTCTATCACAGGCCATGCTTTTCTTCATCTTCAGCAATGTTTCTCAACCTTGGCAACTTTAAGATGGGTGGATTTCGATTCACAATTGGTCCATCCATCTGGGAGTTGGTCCACACATCTTAAAGCGTGCTGGCTGGGGGATTCCGGGGGTTGAAGTCCACCCATCTTAAAGTTGCTAAGGTTGAGAAGCACGGTGCTAGAGTGCAGGCTGTGGAATAATGGATTTGGGATAACGAAAGGCAATGATTGTTATTCAGTGACAAGCGGAATGCACATTTTGATGTTTGAAAACGTAAAGACATTTCCAAAATGTTGCAAACGTCGTGATGTTTCAGCATTCTCACATGATGTTTTTGCACCAGAACACATGGAATACGTGTGCATCTTACATGGAATATATTTGTTAGAAGATTTGACAGTCTTAGGAGATTCCAAAAGATTCAAAAGAAAACAAAGTGGTAGTAACCGAAAAAGATACCGGCTTTTGAACTCATCAGATGCTTCCGTCAGTTCCTCATTTGGCTAGTCTTAAATTCATTCCATTTCATTTCTGCTTCAGCACTCAAACAAACATACAAAAAACCCCATCATTGTTTTGCAGTTTTTCTTAATAAATGCATCACTGTATGCATTTGATAAGCCGTTTTGCTGATCTGTAGGATTTACAGGAAGGGCCAAGAGTTTTCCTTACTGTGATGCCATTCTGCATGATGTTTACCTTTGGCACTCCCCAACTTATATAAGCATTCTGCATCAGTCCAGAAAACTTTGCAAAACCTAGTTTTTTTTTCATAACTCAGGTATTCATATATGCACATACTGTTTTACATTGCATGGGTAATGTAAAATGTTTATGTACCTTCAAAATTTTCGATGTTGCCAAGAAAAATATTTGAACTTATCTATGAATTTTCTAGGAGTTAACAAGTCCCCCCCTCATTGTTAATGGATATAGAACAGCATGCTGGCTGAGGAATTCTGGGAATCGAAGTCCACACATCTTAAAATTGATAACATTGAGAAACACTGGTACAGAATACAGGTAGTCCTCGCTTAACAACCACAATAGTGACCAGAAACTTCATTGTTGAGCAGGGCGGTTGTTAAGCAAGTCACACCTGATTTTTATGACTTTTTTTGCAGCGGTCATTAAGTTAATTACTGTGGCCATTAAGTGAATCACACGGTTGTTAAGCAAATCACGTAATTCCCCATTGATTTTGCTTGCCGGAAGCCAGCTGGGAAAGTCACAAATGGCAATCGCGTGACCCTGGGATGCTGCAACCATCGTAAGTGCGAGCTGGTTGCCAAGCGCCCAGATCGTGATCACATGATTGCAGGGGTGCTGCGACAGTTGTAAGTGTAAGGACCTGTTGTAAGTCCCTTTGTTCAGCACTGCTGTAACTTTGAATGGTCACTAAACAAATGGTTGTTAAGTGAGGACCACCTGTAAAAATTAGATTTGAATGCTTCAGTTTTATACATATATTTTTCTTCTTTCCTGGAGTAACTAGGGTTGAGATTATCTGGGAGAGATGGGAAAGAGTTGAAGAGGGTCTGCTTTGCACCCAGAAAGTTTTAAGTTCTCAGCATCTGCAGGAATGTTTGGGAAAAGGGCCGGTCAGTTGTGATAACTTTAACTGGAAAAATGGCCAGGGAATAACGAGACGGTGGCCTGTGTTTCTGATGAGATCTGCTCTTTATTCAGAGCAGTAAAAAAAATAAATCAGGAGTCTGGTTGCCCCTTTTCCGACTCACATTTTATTAAAAGGCAGATGCTTTTGTGAGCTGCAGTTGAAAAACCATTAGGAACCCTTGTTTCAAAGGACAATAAGGTGAAAAAAATATAACAAACTACAAGAAAATATAATTTAAATCCTGCATCGGCTGAGCCACTTCATTGCATCTGATGAAGTGAGCTGTAACTCCCCAAAGCTCCTGCCTTTTAATAAAAATGACTAGTTGGGAAAAGTGCTCCCAGACCCCTGGTTTTTGGCTACTGTAAACTAACCCAGTTCTCCCCCTACAATGTCTCTTCAGAACGGTGAGGACTAGAGTCTTTACTATGGGGGGAAAGGCCCATGGTGGAGGGTGGGGCGCTGCTCGCATGGGAAAAGCTCCCAGTTCATTTTCTGACCTCGCCAATGAAGTCTGGAGAAACACCTTGCCTGAAGTCCTTGTGAACGGTTGCTAATTAGGGCAGAGAATCGACTTGCTGGTGGGACCTCTCATAGAATCTTTTTTTCCCTTCCTCTTGACTGCCTGCTTCCACCCCAGAGCAAGCCAGCCTCCTTCAGAAACCAATGCATTTTGCACCTCCTTTTTTAGAAAGCAGGCGACACAAAAGAAGATTGTTCAGAGGCAGCTCTGAGCCCCCCCCCCCCCC